CCTTCTGCATGGCTACTAAGTGAAAACTATGTGTCTTTCAGGTGAAACCAGTGGGAATGAAAGTGATATGGAAAATCAGCCAAAAAGTGAGTGAATTACAGGGGCTGGTCCTGTCCCCATAGCACTACACCTTTGGCTAAGGCTCTAATGGGATAAAGCATGCTGACCAGTTGTGGCTTCTGCTGAGACAGAGAAAAGGAACATCTGAGAGGCAGCATGACCAAGGCGGGGAGCTGTTTCTGTGACGTCAGCCTCTATTTCTGCCACTTCTCCTGAGCCCTTGAGGTTTAATGCCATTAGTCTGCCAGTCACTAGAAGTAGATTCATTTTTGGGTTGGTAGAGTCACACTTAACTGAAATATGTCTTGCAGGAGATTGTTCCTGGATCACCTGTGCTGCTGACGCTTGGGGTTATTTTCCCCCTACGTCCTTCCCTTGGTTCTTTTTTGTATGTGTAATGTTTTGAAATACCCTTTCCTCTGGGGAGAAATCACTTGGTTATTTGACTGGTTCAATAGTCCTGAGTTGCTTCATAGGCCCAAACTAGACTTGAGATAACTACTTGGTTTTAGCTGGTGTGGGAAGGACCAAAGAGGGCTTAGTTTCTATGCTGGTAAGATTTGAATATGAAACGGTGATGGGTGATGGCTAGCAGCCCTGATGAGTGGCTCTGTCATGTCTCTAAGCAAGCATCCAGCGAAAAGGACCAACGGAATGATTTTAGATGTTTCATCTACTTGGAGGGAAGCATACAGAAGGCCTTAAATTGTAGCAAATAGCGAAGTTCCACTTTTTTATGTTAAGGAGAGTAATGGAGAGCAAAGAGTCTCTGCAGAAATACAGTGATTGAGTCATTGCCTGATTTAAGAGTTGTTTCCAAAGTGTCCAGAATGTGTCATGGTGCCTGGGCCACAAGAATTTCTTACATCAGAGTGCTGTGCCTGTGCCTGTGAGTCTGTACTGCCTGTGCCTGTGAGTCTGTACTGCCTGTGCCTGTGAGTCTGTACTGCCGGTCAAGACAACCCAGCCTGGAGGTTTATTGGCCAGGAAACAAGCTCGGCCTCTCTTGAATGCCCATGCTGCTTTACGGAGTAGCTGCCTGAGGCATGGCAATTGCTGAACTGGTGGAGCTGGGCTGCATCTCGCAGCTGGGCTTCCCTCATCATTGCCACAGCATGTTGCTCTTGAGATGTGTGGGAAGACTGTCAGGACAGAAGGAGAATGCTAGCTATTGGTCAAGAGGGATTTGCAGAGCTGCTGCAAGGCCAGTGCTCCACTGTCTCGAACAGCTCTGTGCCTGAAGAGCTGACGCAGGAGTCCAAGTCCCGTAGAGCACAGCAGTGATGTTAGGCAAATCCACCCATCTCTTTTCCCTCTTCTAAAGGTAGTGACGAGTCATTTTCTGTGACCTGTAGGTATGTGGCAGTGATAGCCACAGGCTGGTTTTGGATTTGTTCCTTTCCTCAGGTCGACACAGGTGCCTGCTGCAGGTGCAGTCAGCCTCCAAGAGGAACCCACACTACCAGACTTTGGAGAAGGATTTGATAGAGCTTCAGGAGCAGCAGCTATTTGAGCTGTTTGTGGTGGTGTCGCTGCACAAGAAGGCATCTGACATGACATACACACCACAGATCATACAGCAGTTTCCCAGCAAGGTAGGAGCTGCATGGAAAGCTGCCCACAAAACATGCTTAGCAGCTGTTTATTTCCTCTCGCAGTGTGTATCCCTTCCTAAACTGTGTACTAGTAAAGGTGGCCCACTGGTTAGGATACAGGCTTGAAATAGGAAGCACCTTGCTCTGTTACAGACCAATGTAAAACATTGGGCAGTTGTTGAATGTCTTTCTTGAGAATGAGTTTACTGTCTTTTTTTTTGAACTAGGAGGGCTCCTACTGTAATCCTAATTGCCTGGAAGTATCATAAAGCCATACTGTATTGTGGTACACTCCTGAGGCAGCCTGCAGGAGAGGAAAGGGAGTGCAGTGCTCTGTTCCCAAAGCTGGTGTGATCTCATCCTGGTAGTCTGTGATTTATAAACAAGGAGTGAAGCAATTTGACTGATGGTGCACCGGAACTAGAATCCCAGTGCTTTTATGCTTATTTATAGTGTTCGGGGGGGCGGGGAATGTAAATGGCAAAGCCATGTGTACTAGCCCCCAAAAAGCAGAGGAGAACTGTGGAAATTAAAGTACTGTAGCTAGAACAAGCCATTTGAAATAAGCTTTTTTTTCTGTCTGTTCAGCCCAAATGGATGACAAGATCAGTATGTGACTCTGAATTATGACTCTGTGTACACAGTACTGGAAGCTAAGAGGATGGAGCCTTGATGCTTGCTTCTGTGGTTCCAGATTGAAATGAATATTCAGTTGTGACTCTCTAGGCTTGTACCTGCTGCCTTCCACTAAAAACCAGAACAACACTAGTAATTCTAGCTGTGCTATTGAGAGTAAGCTGGAGATTATTAAGGAATCTGCATGTCATCCAAATAGACAAGGGTATGTCAGATTCATTAAGGGAGGTTATGTGGGACTCCAGCAGGACACATAGTGTCCAGTTGCCTAAGGGATTTGTGTGCAAATAACTCTAGTGTCTAAAATGTGTAAATGTTGTGAACTCAAAAAGAATAAGGGTCTACAGCCAGAAAGAGTGGGTAGTACATGAATATACACAAATAATATCTGCTAAAAGTGCAAACTTTAGGGTGTTAGGAGGAAGAAAGGAACGTAACCAGATTTAGGTTTTCCCTGGTGCAAGCTCTTAATCTGTTCCTTGCCTTTGGTAAGGGCAGTGCATTGTTCTTTTCCTGCTGCCCTAGCAGACAATCAGACCCAACTGTACCATGTGGCTCTTTACTGGCTTTTATAAATGCACTAACAAAACAAATTATTTTCTCTGTGTTTATTCTCTGCTTAAATTTAAGTTTTTTGGTGAATGACTTTATGTGGGACAGTCTGTCATGTTGGGATTCTGCAGGAAACATTGCCCAGTAATTAAGAAGGTGTTCTGATTACAGATTTGTCTCCCTTCTAAAAATAGCCTTACTTCCAAGTAATCTGCTTGTCACCCTCTTTAGGCTGCATGCCCAAGGACATCAAAGCTTTTGTACAGCTGTTTCTCTGTGAAAATGCTGTACTGTTTTCCTGACTGCTCCTTCATGCTGTCACAGCTTCGGACACTGGAATAGCCTAGATGCACTGACTGAGAGTACAGCGTCTAAAATCAGCTTTATGCAATAAACATTGCTCTTCTCAAGGGCATTTCCTACTTAAATATGATCTCTCTTATTCAAAAAACCTTTCTTTTGCCCCTTTTGGGCAGTTTTGAGCATGGAAGTTTGTCCTGTAGTCTTTGAAGGATTGACTTGAGCCCACACATGATAACTGAAACATATGATTCAGATATGCTGTTTTTGCAATTGAATTTTGAGTGATCTGCACATCACAAGCTGAACTCATTCCTGTTCCTCTTAGTGACTTCAAATCTCTTAGGAATAGAACCGAGGCAAGCTGACACAACCATCATTTGGGGAGTCAGTTCTAGCTTTATTCCCCCATAAACTTGGCCATGCTTGTAAATGCTTACTCAGTTCTTGCCAAGACCAGCTGAGTGATTTTACAAAGGTCCAGTCAGTAGGAAAGATGCAAGAGGGAACTGGGAATCTGTTATAGGCAGACTATGTTCCCCTATACTTGTGCATTAGTTGTTTGATGGTTCAGCATTTGCAATTGTCAGGAAGATACTGTCTCCATTGTTTTAAATGCTGTTGCTGTGCACCACACTGCAGTGACTTCACGTAAATGTGTTACCCCTCCAGCCTGAACATCCCTTCAGACAGTCAAAGGATACTGAAGAGAGGCTAAAGGTCATTCCCAAATTCTGCTTTCCAGATCCCAAAGACTGGTTTCCTGCATCAGACCTTAAAAGGTAAAGACCTGTTTTTGAATACTCATGCCTGAAACAGGCAATGCTGAAAGCTTAGGTATGTGCCAGTTTCCTGGACGAGAGGAAATGCAGACAGAGCAAGGAAAAAATGGAGAAGGCTGAATCTGTAATCCCTGTGATAGGGAAA